GCCCTGTTGACTCAACACAGTCGGTGAATAATTTTCCCTCTGCAGGGGACGCTTGAGGATCAAATCATCAGCGCCAACCCACTGCTGGAGGCCTTTGGAAACGCCAAGACCGTGAGGAACGACAACTCCTCGCGCTTTGTGAGTTGGTGACTTGGACAAAATCTCTCCCTCTCATGGCAGGACAAGTGATGCCTGAGTAGGTCTCCATGTAAAGGAGATGTCAGAAGAAACCATACAGGCTAAAATGCTGCTGCTTCTCCTTAACAGGGCAAATTCATCAGAATCCACTTTGGGGCCACAGGCAAACTGGCTTCTGCTGATATTGAAACTTGTAAGAGACTCTCCTGGACTTGTCCAATGCCTTCCCAAATTCCCACCTCCATGTGCACTGCTGTGCCTAACTCTTTCTACCTTCCTGGGCAGATCTGCTGGAGAAGTCCAGAGTCACTTTCCAGCTCAAGGCGGAAAGAAGCTACCACATCTTTTATCAGATCATGTCCAACAAGAAGCCAGAGCTAATTGGTAGGAGACGTCACCGAGCTTTTTGAAGGAAGATCTCTGAGCAAGATTCAACTACCTTACAAAAAGTATTAAATTTAACCCACGTACACATTTGTTTTCAGAAATGCTCCTCATCACCACCAACCCTTATGATTTCCCTTTTGTGAGTCAAGGTGAGATCAGTGTTCCCAGCATTGATGACAAGGAGGAGTTGATGGCAACAGATGTGAGTAACGTACAAAACAAGTCAACAGGCATAGGTCATACATCACATAACACACAAATATTTCACTTTGCTGATTGTATTATCAGAGTGCCATTGACATCCTGGGTTTCACTGCTGATGAGAGAACAGCCATCTACAAGCTGACAGGGGCTGTCATGCACTATGGGAACCTGAAGTTCAAGCAGAAACCAAGAGAGGAACAGGCAGAGCCTGAAGGCACAGAAGGTATTATTGAGCTCAATAATTAACCCTTCTGTAAACCACTGTGGAAGACAGCAAAAGTTGTTAATTGTTGGACTTTAGGATCCCAAGAAAATTAGTCAGCCAGGAAAAAACCCTGTCCCTTGTCCTTAGTACACCAAGTTCCCCTATTTCAGGATTTATGTATCTTATGCTATGAACAGTTAGCAGTATAAACTTCCAGGAAGTCAGGAGTGATGGATGTTCCTTTAGTCATGCCTTTGTTGGAATATGGCTTGCAACTGCGAAACAGCTCAGTGATTCAGTTCTAACATGAGAGAGGACTACATTCCCATTTGTCTTCCCCTATCCAACACTAGGGGAAGGCAGCTGTAAGAGGTGTATTTGATTCCTCTCCTTCGTGGGCACAGGACCTACAACTTCTGTCTCCAATTCTGTGAGCAACACCTCCTCTTGCTAAAGGACAAGGCAGGAGGTGGGGAGCACCATAGGTAACAGGATGAAGCCCAATTAGTTTTACTGAACATCAGAAACAAAAGCTCAGAAAGGGTTCTGGTTCTGAAAGAGAACAGAGATATTGTCTCTGTGTTCCACTCTAAATATTGTGTGGTCTAGATCACCTGAATGCAGATCAGTACCTGGTTGTTGTCACTGCAGCTCCTGAGCTGCAGGTGCACTACGAGCTTTCAGACTAACAAGCTTCATTTTTCAATTCAGTGCCAGGAGACTTTTGGAAACATCATCACTTTCTACAAGTTCCAGGGAAGATTTTAAAACATAAATTGTTTTAGAAAAGCTCAATATCCATAATGACAAGTGTGAAGTTGCCAAGATTCCCTCTATGAGAGTCTATCAAAAGTTTTCAAAGAACAGAAATCTGAACCCTGCAGCCTTTAGGCTGAATCCTGGGAAGGCTTCTCCAGGATTCAAAGTTTACTGGATGTTAAATTCTTCCTTTTTCCTCTGCCTTTTCAGTTGCTGACAAGGCTGCCTACCTGATGGGCCTGAACTCAGCTGACATGCTCAAGGCCCTCTGCTACCCCCGAGTTAAGGTGGGGAATGAATATGTGACTAAGGGTCAAACAGCACAGCAGGTAAGAAACATGTTGTAGCCTCTAACCATGTTTAGAATTAATATCCTGTTGATTTTCCTCTGCCCTGTATGGTAATGCCAGGCATTTATTTTTTCTTATAGGTGCATAATTCAGTGGGTGCCCTGGCAAAGGCTGTCTATGAGAAGATGTTCCTGTGGATGGTTGTTCGCATCAACCAACAGCTGGACACGAAGCAGCCCAGGCAGTATTTCATTGGTGTGCTGGACATTGCTGGCTTCGAGATCTTTGATGTAAGTAAGATTCAGTAAGAGCTACTTGGAAGTGACAGCTGAATGTTATGTTCAATTTGAGACACATTTTAAAGAAGACATAATATTATCAGATGATTAGTGTTATTTTTCTTTTTTGTTATGAATTAAAAAATGACTTTTCAAAAGACTTGTCTTATTTCAAGATGTGAAAACTCAAAAGTACAGAATGGTCCAATCAGAAAAATTCCTTGGTTATATAGTCAGGGACAAGATAATATAAAAATATGTACACCACAATAGTCCTAAGCTTGTGTTTCTTCTTCCTGTAACTTACTTGGTATATATTATATCTTCACAACTTTATTAATGAAAAAAAATTCCTTGTGGACAATTAATTTGATGCCTTTCTCTTTTTCATTATGTAGTCACAAAGCAGACTGAAGAAATGCACAGGATGGACAATGAAGCCAAGATAACTCCACTCCTTAGTTTTAAAGGAGGTTTTGCAATTATTGCTGCATCTTTCAATATCTATCCTTCTTATTTTATTTCCAGTTCAACAGCTTTGAGCAGCTGTGCATCAACTTCACCAATGAGAAACTGCAGCAGTTCTTCAACCACCACATGTTCGTGCTGGAGCAGGAGGAGTACAAGAAGGAGGGAATTGAATGGACATTCATTGACTTTGGGATGGACCTGGCTGCCTGCATTGAGCTCATTGAAAAGGTATCCTACCTGTTCAAATGAGTTACACGCAGAAAAACTCTGTGGTCTCATTGTTCAAAGGGGTCTTCTATGTTTCTGTGCAAGTATTCTGCTTTTCTTATTCAAAATACCTTGCCCCATAGTTTACTTTTTCTGTTAAGTGAGAAATGAAGGAAATCGTGGCAGATGTGTGGCAGACTTGTAGCAGCAAGTCTGTACTGATCTCTTTCCAAGCACAAAAAGTTTGTTTAACTCCCTGTCATGGTTTGAGATAGCCTCAAAATCCAATCCCCTAGTCTAAGCCCCCTCCCACATCTCAATCTAATGTGAGATGGGTTTTTCCAGACAAAACACACCAGACTCAAAATGGGGGAAAGGGAATATATTACAATGACTGTACAGATAAATACCATATCACATTATACACACGATCACAATATCTCTACCATGACTTATAGTATTTACAATGGATCAGATCTCCTCTCCCCTCCAAATAAAAGTCCAGGAGGGAAAGAAGGACAGATCCCTTCCAGTCTCTAAACAGCAGGAGCATCTTCCAAGGCAGCAGGTTTCTTCTTCTCATGCATGCAGCAGCTGTGGCTGGCTTTTCTGCCAGCACTCACGAGGGAGGTATCCAATCTCCCTCGGCCCCCTTGACACAGGGGGTCTTCCGTGGGCTTCGTCACCCCAGACAAGGTCGTTTCACCACGGTCATATCACGAGACGCAGGGGGTCTTCGTGACGGTCTGGTATCTCCAGGAGATTCAAGCTCCTGCAGGGCCTCTGTGCCCTCTTCTCAGGCTGCCACCGTGGCAGCAGGGCGAGGGGGGAGCCAAGGTCACCCCCTCTGCATTCCTCTGGCCATCCCAGTCCAGCTCCGGGACATCTTTGAGCTTCTTAGCTCCTCTCTCTCTCCGGTGCTGCATGTCTAAAACTCTCTCTCCAAAATAGGAGTCCATGTCCCTCCTTTTCTCAGAGGGGTCTCAAGGGAGTTTTGGGATCTGGTATTCAGTCTTACCCCAAACTCTGTAGCTCTGCTGCTGGCTCTCTCTCTCTCCCTTTCCAGGAGTCCTTTCTGCGATGCTGCATGTCTCTGTTGCTTCTCCGGTTCAGGTCTTATCTGTCCTGGCTCTGTGCCACTGTTTCTCTGGTCAGTGCCGGCTGCTGCTCTGTGCCCATGGAGAAAAACATCTCCCAGCATACTACAGACACTTAGTCCAGTCTAGCACTGTTCCAAGTCTCTGCAATCTTCCCCCAGCCAGGGGCTGGGAGGGGGCCAGAGGCCCCAAGGGGCTCGGAGGGGGCCAGAGGCCCCAAGGGGCTCGGAGGGGGCCAGAGGCCCCAAGGGGCTCAGAGCCCCTACCTCGTGGCTCACAACATGGCCACCACTCCAACAACCACCCAAAACTACAACTCATCTCTTCCGGTGAGCTTGTGATATGTTTACATTTTTGCAGGAGCGCCCATTGGGCAAAACTTCAAAACATCCAGGGGTTTCCACCCCTTGGGGTCTACCACTTTTCAGCCTCTGGGGGAAAAACCAAGGTCCAAACCACCACACTCCCAAAAAGAGTGTTCTTCCAACCCAGCTAGAGCCAATTTCCAGGTCAGTGTGCCTTCCTCACCTTTCAGCTCTGACAAGAGTGCTTGTACAGCAGAACAGCTGCATCTTTTCAAAATGGACACAGAGGTTGGACACACATAAATAACTGTCAGTACACAGTCACACTTGCAGGTGCCTCCTTTGACTAACAGTGTGAAGGCAGTTGTACTGCACACAAGATGGTAAGTTCAGTAGCTGGCAGATGATGAGTAGTTGGAATCACAGAATCAGCTCTGGGCATCACTTAACCCAACCCGCTTGTTCAAGGCAGGGTCAGCTAGAGCGGTTTACTCAGGACCATGTCCAGTTGGATTTTTAATATCTCCAAGGGTGCAGATGCCACAGATACTTCAGGGAACTTGTTCTAACTCTGGACCATCTTCACAGTAAAGAAGGTTTTTCTTCTCATTAAATGGAATTTAGTGGATCATGCCTCTTTCTTCTTGTCCTATCACAGGACATCACTGAGCTCTCTCTTCTCTGCCTCTCATTAGGTATTTATATAGATCGATAAGATCTCCCAGACCCTTCTCATTTCCATGCAGGACAGTCCTGTCAGCTTATTTTTGCATGTCAGATGTTCCGATCATTTAAATATATCTGTGGCCTGTCACTGGGCTCATTCTACTACGTCCATGGGAGTAGCCAAGAGCTAGAACAGCACTCCAGATGTTTCTCATCAGAGCTGATTAGAGAGGAAGGATGGACTCCCATGAGCAACAGAATGCAGCTGAGGATGACTTGGCTGCCTTTGCTGCAATGGTGTATTTTCGGCTCATGTTCAATGTGTCTAATACCTCTGTTTTTGCTCTCAGTCCCACCGCATAAGAAGGTAGTGCTCTGATTTTATAAAGCACATTCTCCAAACAAACTAAATTAATTTCTATTATTCTTTATAGTTAATTTTGTATTAAAAATATAGGTATCAATGTATTCAATCCCACTTTCTAGAAGAAAATGTAATTAAATATTAATATTTTCTGATGTGTATCTCAATCTGTGTTCCATTACTGTGTCTACATGAAGGTCATGATTGCCCTGAAAGCTAAATTACAATCTGTCTCCCTTGTGATTTCTCCCAGCCAATGGGCATCTTCTCCATCCTGGAAGAGGAGTGCATGTTCCCCAAGGCAACTGACACCTCTTTCAAGAACAAGCTCTATGACCAGCACCTGGGCAAGTCCAGCAACTTCCAGAAGCCCAAACCTACCAAAGGCAAGGTTGAGGCCCACTTCTCCCTGGTGCACTACGCTGGCACAGTGGACTACAACATCACTGGGTGGCTGGAGAAGAACAAGGACCCCCTGAATGAAACTGTCATTGGGCTGTACCAGAAATCATCTGTCAAGACCCTGGCCTTACTCTTTGCCAACTATGGTGGAGCAGAAGCAGGTTGGTTCTATGAATCCCATATTTTCACTGATGTACAGCTTACAAAAAGGAATAATAAAAGGCAAAAGCAAAAATCTAAAATCTGTTTTATTTATTTTTAATTTAGCCGAGGCCAGCGGTGCAGGCAAGAAAGGTGCCAAGAAGAAGGGTTCTTCTTTCCAGACTGTCTCGGCTCTTTTCCGGGTACAGTAGAGACTTCACTCTTTCTTCCTAAGATAAGGAGTAAACCCACCAATCACTATGGCTTGTCTTTTTTTGGCTTAGTTCTTTTAAAAGATCCTGAAGTTCTTGGGCCACATTTTACTAGGAATAAATCCAGTGTAATCTACTTATACTCCATTCCACTGAATGCATAGCTTTTCTATTTGCCCACTTGTCCGAGGATGATGTTTCTAGATGGAAGAATGTCATAGAAAAAAATGTCTAAAATATACTTAAAATAGACCAGACTTCCTCCAGATGCATGCCTCTGGCTTCAGAAGCTGTTATTGCCCTTTTAAAACATTCTGGCCACTGTTGACCTGTTTACCCCATTTATATGTCTAATTTTTCTGTCTGACTCAAGGATCAATTTCTTATACTTGAAATACTATCACTCCTTGAGTTATGGATTTTTAAGATGTCGATACTTCACAGTCCTTTGTCATAACCAAGTCTTGCTTCCTGACTGCTCCATACATCTCTTCCAGGTGAAATACCTCCTGTCTCCTGAGGTATTACCTTTTTCATCCTTCATGTATGCCTCCCTTCTTAATATTGCTTAATTTCTTCTACAGGTCTGCTGTCGTATGATTCTTCATCACCTGACAGCCTCTAGGCAGTGCTCTGAAACAGGACATGGGCATGTGTATATGCCCCCCAAAAAATAATCATAGAATTGTAGAATATGCTGAACTGGAGAGGACCCATCAGGATCATCCAGTCCTGGCCCTGCCCAGGACACCCAAACTATTCCACCTTGTCCCTGAGAGCATTGTCCAAACACTCCTTGAGCTCTGGCAGTCTTGGGGCCATGATCACTGCCCTGGGGAGGCTGTTTGATGTCCAACCACCCTCTGGGGCAATTATCATAGCTGTACTGCCTGTATCATTTAAAAATAATGCAAAAAGTTTATGTCTAAAGGTCATAAGACTTTAGGAGGTAATGTTGTAAGAGAACTATTGTTTGGTGCATTTGGGTTGCATTTCTGTTATGTTTTTAAATTTTGTTCCACTATCCCTCTTGTTTAGACCATGTTTATGCATCCTAATGTTTTCTCTGTTTTATTTACATGCTTTGCAGTGTCCTCTAGAAGCACCTGCTTCCCTCCCCTAATTATAGACAATAATTTTTTATAAATAACTATACAAATATCAATTACAAAACAAGGGATGGGATTCATCTCACTTTGCCATACAAGATAAATGTATATTCTAGACATGTAAAACTGGTTTTGTTCCTTTTGCTTTTAGTAGGGAAAACACGAAGGTTTTATGTAGTGTGCTCCATATGACCCAGCTTTGATGCCTCCTGCAGAATGCTTCCCACTCATTGCCTCATAGGAGTACTACTTTATCTCTCTGGGTACATCCTGTGGATATAATTTCTGATAAAGGCATTTCACTAGAGTCAGTGAAATGTATTACAATTCTATGTTTAAGAGTACAATATTTTCTACAGATTACTCAGAATAACTTCATACATTAAGTTAATAACAGCAAAGATCTGTGGAAAGTCAGAAAACCTGATGCAGAGGGCTTCAGTTCAGGGTTCTGCTTACTTGTGTACATCTCATTTCAGAGGGCTTGATGCTTACAGAAGAAATTATGTTTGCTAATATCAACTTTTCTTAATGACTCTCCCAGGAGAATTTAAACAAGCTGATGACCAACCTGAGGAGCACCCACCCCCATTTTGTGCGCTGCATCATCCCAAATGAAACCAAAACGCCTGGTAAGAGGCTTACATATGTATTGAATGTTCTCAGTATGGTGCAGATCTTCCTCTGTGTGTTACAGAACATGGTGTGTATTTGTGCTCTGCATTGCTCAGGTGCCATGGAGCATGAGCTGGTGCTGCACCAGCTGCGCTGTAACGGCGTGTTGGAAGGGATCAGGATTTGCAGGAAAGGATTTCCCAACAGAGTCCTCTATGCAGATTTTAAACAGAGGTCAGACTTCATCCCCTTACTGGATCACTTCGCCCATCTTGAGTAGCTTGTGAAATTTAATTTTTCCCTTCTGTGCCTAAAGCCTTCCCTATAGTTTCAGTTTAATAAGTGCTGTTACATTCTCAACTGTTCTTAGACTCTTTCTTTCCACGTAGCAGCCAGTTGGTCTCAACAACAGACCTCTTCATATTCATAGAATTATAGAATCATTTAGGTTGGAAAAGACCCTTAAGATCATTGAGTCCAAAGCAAATCCTTCCATTTTCTTCCTCAGATACAAAGTATTAAATGCCAGTGCTATCCCAGAGGGACAGTTCATTGACAGCAAGAAGGCTTGTGAGAAACTTCTTGGATCAATTGATATAGACCACACTCAATACAAATTTGGTCACACTAAGGTATAAGATCTGCTTGCTTCAAGTACCATGGGTTTTTGGTTTGCATGCTTGAGACTGACACTCAGTTACTCCAGATAGTATGTGAAATGATCCAATGGTGTATGTAAAAGAAATCAATCAAGTAGTTTTTTACTCAACATTTGAATAAACTGAAATTCATTGCCATAGGATGGTTTAATTAAGGGTTAAATAAGTGTTCCTAATTTAAGACAAAGTTGTAGAATGAAAGAATCAAGGGTTAATACAAATAAAAGCAAAATATCTGGCTATTATAGTTCCTCAACTGCAGGTAACCAGAAGCTTGGAGTTACAAAAGAGTCGGGCACTACATATATTCTTTGTGGTTTTGCTCTTTCTCTTAACTTCCCATAGTGCCTGTCATGGGGGGAAGGGCACCAGGTTACCCTGAACAAGCACATACACTGCACCTATTTTCATGTTCTTACCTAAGGTGTTCTTCAAAGCTGGGCTCGTAGGCCTCCTGGAGGAGATGAGGGATGAGAAGCTGGCACAGCTCATCACTCGCACACAGGCCAGATGCAGGGGTTACCTGATGAGGGTGGAGTACCAGAGAATGGTGGAGAGAAGGTAGGCTTCTCTTCAAATCAGGTTCACCCTACTTGGCTTATTGTGTCATCACAGTATAAATATTGAATAATAATTTGACTTACCTTTCAGAGAGTCCATCTTCTGCATCCAGTACAACATTCGTTCATTCATGAACGTCAAACACTGGCCCTGGATGAAGCTGTTCTTCAAGATCAAGCCCTTGCTGAAGAGTGCAGAGTCTGAGAAGGAGATGGCCAACATGAAACAAGAGTTTGAGAAAACCAAGGAAGAACTTGCAAAGTCTGAGGCAAAGCGGAAGGAGCTGGAGGAGAAAATGGTGAAACTGGTGCAGGAGAAAAATGACCTGCAGCTCCAAGTGCAGGCTGTGAGTATCGCCAGCATGTTTTATCCCAACTCTGCTGTGACTATCAAGTTGATATTTACAATTACACTTTCAAAAGACACATAGAAACTACAATTTAGCTCAGTTCAATTTTGATTCTTTAAGTGGTGCTCTTATAAGCTCTTACAAGCTTTAATAAGGACTGTCAGCATATTACCTGGATGAGAATTTCTATGGTGTATGCTGAGCTCTCTTAGCATTTCTCAGAATCGCAGACTAATCACAGCTGGAAGAGACCTTCAAGATCATCTGCTCCAACCATCAGCCCAGCACCACCATAATCCCTCCTAAACCGTATTCCCAAGTGCCACATCCAGACTCCTGTTGAACACTTCCAGAGATGGTGACTCTACCACCTCCCTGGGCAGCTTATTCCAATGCCTGACCACTGTTTCAGTGAAATTTTTTTTTCTGATATCAAATCTGAACCTCCTCTGGCACAACTTAAGGCTGTTTTCTCTTGTTATTTCACTTGAGACATGGCAGAAGAGACCAACCCTCACCTCACTACTCCCTCCTTTCAGGCAGTTGTTAAGAGCAATGAAGTTCCCCCTGAGCCTCCTCTTCTCCAGACTAAACAAACCCAGCTTGCTCAGCCACTCCTTATAGGACTTGTTTTTTGATCCCCCACTGCCTTCACTGCCCTTCTGCTTATATCAGAACAATCAAGAAACTTTTCTTTGTAAAATGTTTGTTTTCCTAGTACTTTTTTCCTATGTTTCCAAAACTGATTGTACCTCTCCTTACACACTCATAATTAAGAATTCTCAGGACAACTTAAGAAGACATTACTTTCCTCTCCTTATTCTCCAGTAGAACAAGATAACTTGTTTCTTTCTGGTTTAGGTGGTGGCTTGAATAGTCAGGATAGTAACAGACTTTACTATGGTATAATACTGAACTAAGAGGAAAGATAATTTAATATTCTCACTCGCCCTCCTGCATCACTAGGAATCATTACACAAAATCATGTGCTACATCTGCGGTGTTACAGTGCTGTGCTTTCTAAATTGAATCAGTCACAGAATAGAAAAGACTGACTCCTCTAAGTGATACTATGCAGCATATGTGACATATACAAAAAGCCACACGCCCCCCTTTTTAAAGAGTCTTGAGCTGTAAAAAGATGAAAGAATCCACGCAATGCTAATATTACTATTTTTCTTTCATACTTTTTCTGTTGGACTGAAACCTGAGACAAAATATAACAAATACCACAGGACGTATGTTGCAGAAAAGAAGCCTGGAGGCAAATTTTCCAGCAGGTCTTTTTCTTCTTAGCTGATGACAGTAGCACAGAGAAGAGACAAGGCTGACAGATACTGAGTATTTTGTGGCCAATGGTGTTGAAAATATAAATCAGAAACAGTTACTCCAGAAAGAGAGTAAGGTGAAAAAAAATAAATACAGGAATAGTGTCAAGATAATTGTGTCTTCAGTATTTATATGCATCTTGGCATATGATTATCACTCAGAACTTCACAAACATGGGAGATATTCCTATGATTAAACCCGAATTTATGCACTTTGTTCCAGTGTTTGATACTGTGGGATAAGATTGGATTCTGTACCCTGCGCAAATATATAAATACTCAAGTCTTGAGGTAGATTGAAAAGGATTTTACTTGGTTTAAGATTTAAAACCAGTCTGTTTCAAAACTAACAATATAAAATCAATTCTATATTATATGTCATTTTATTGGCCATGTATCAAATTTTTAAATACAAAACTGCTATCCAGGACTCTGAATTATGCAGGTAAGAATCTCAATATTCCCTCAAAAAGTGTATCCCTAACAATGGCATTTTCCCACCAGGAAGCTGATGCTTTGGCTGATGCTGAGGAAAGGTGTGACCAGCTCATCAAAACCAAAATCCAGCTGGAAGCCAAAGTTAAAGAAGTGACTGAAAGGGCTGAGGATGAGGAGGAAATCAATGCTGAGCTGACAGCCAAGAAAAGAAAACTGGAGGATGAATGTTCAGAGCTGAAGAAAGATATTGATGACCTTGAGCTAACACTGGCCAAGGTGGAGAAGGAAAAACACGCCACTGAAAACAAGGTATGAGGCAGAAAATCTCACCCGCACTCCAGAAAAGAGCCCCGTGCTCTTCCAGGACTTCTGTATCTACTTCCTTGATTTACACTCGCTCCCTTCTTCCTAAAGGTGAAAAACCTCACAGAGGAGATGGCAGCCCTGGACGAGACCATCGCCAAGCTGACAAAAGAGAAGAAAGCCCTCCAAGAGGCCCATCAGCAGACCCTGGATGACCTGCAGGCAGAGGAGGACAAAGTCAATACACTGACCAAAGCCAAGACCAAGCTGGAGCAGCAAGTGGACGATGTAAGCCCACGGACACACAGCAGGAACAGACAGGTATGGAGTTTGAGCTGGCTGGTGGAAGACTGATGGCCTTGTTCTGTGTAGCTGGAAGGGTCCCTGGAGCAAGAGAAGAAACTGCGCATGGACCTGGAGAGAGCCAAGAGGAAACTGGAAGGAGACCTGAAGCTGGCCCAGGACAGCATCATGGATCTGGAGAATGATAAGCAGCAGCTGGATGAGAAACTGAAGAAGTGAGTGTGGCCCTGGGGCACCTCAGTGCTGGGCTGCAGCTCTTGTCTTCTTTCTTTGAGCTGTAACCCACTTTGCTTTGCCCAAAGGAAAGACTTTGAAATCAGCCAGATCCAGAGCAAAACCGAGGATGAACAACCCCTGGGCATGCAACTACAGAAGAAGATCAAGGAGCTGCAGGCAAGTGTCTGCCCTCCCCCTGCCTGCCCCAGGCTCGGCTCAGGGAGGAGGAGGGCACGGGTGTGAAGGGTCCCTCGTGTCCTCCAGGCCCGTATTGAGGAACTGGAGGAGGAAATCGAGGCCGAGCGAACCTCTCGCGCTAAAGCAGAGAAGCATCGGGCTGACCTGTCCAGGGAGCTGGAGGAGATCAGCGAGCGCCTGGAAGAAGCAGGAGGGGCGACGGCAGCTCAGGTGGAGATGAACAAGAAGCGGGAGGCAGAATTCCAGAAGATGCGCCGGGACCTCGAAGAGGCCACGCTGCAGCACGAAGCCACGGCTGCCGCCCTGCGCAAGAAGCACGCGGACAGCACGGCTGAGCTGGGGGAGCAGATCGACAACCTGCAGCGCGTCAAGCAGAAGCTGGAGAAGGAGAAGAGCGAGCTCAAGATGGAGATTGATGACTTGGCCAGTAATATAGAGTCTGTCTCCAAAGCCAAGGTACACAAGTATTTTTATCAGGAATTTGGGAGCAATGTGATGATTTTGTTTAATTTTATATTTTTTTAACTAGTATCAGGTTATAAGTGATTTTTCCAAATCTAATGTGCAGAACTATGGGTGTATGCACATAGTCCCCAGACATGTAAACTGCATCTTCTGGATACATTTTCCTCCTGTAAAGAAGGAAGGATCAAGACATTTACTCTATTTTCTTATATATAGATATATATAGAGATATATATAATATATATATATTTACTTTTATATTTTCTTATATATATTTTCTTGTGACTGATACATAGGCAAACCTTGAGAAGATGTGCCGCACCCTGGAAGACCAGCTGAGTGAATATAAAACAAAGGAGGAGCAGAATCAGCGTATGATCAGCGATCTTAGTGCTCAAAGAGCTCGTCTACAGACAGAATCTGGTACAGCACTTCCACCTCTAATTTGGAAATGGTAGAACTCCATCAATTATTTTCTTGGCTATTAAAATGTTTTCTCAACTACAAACTTTTCCAGGTGAATATGGACGCCAGGTGGAGGAAAAAGATGCTTTAATTTCTCAGCTGACTAGAGGGAAACAGGCTTTCACCCAGCAGATTGAAGAACTGAAGCGGCAACTAGAAGAAGAAATAAAGGTGAAGATATATAGGTTACAGATAAAATCTTTGACATAACATTGATTCTGATGAAATGTCCAAGACTTCAAAAGGTGATCCAATTAAAAGTTCAAACCATCTCCCCAGGTCATGCAATCTAGGCCCTATCAGCACAGAACTCTCAACTTTTTATCTTGCAGCCACTTAATTGCTATTTCTGTGGGTACATATCAGTGTCAAGAGAAAATTTCCTGGGATACATTTAGTCATTATTGCAATATTTTTCCCACAGGCCAAGAACGCCCTGGCCCACGCCCTGCAGTCCGCTCGCCACGACTGTGACTTGCTCCGGGAACAATATGAGGAGGAGCAGGAAGCCAAGGGGGAGCTGCAGCGCGCCCTGTCCAAGGCCAACAGCGAAGTGGCCCAGTGGAGAACCAAATACGAGACGGACGCAATTCAGCGTACAGAGGAGCTCGAGGAGGCCAAGTACGTGGGCAGGGTGGGGAAGGCTGGCACAGACTAAAACCAGAAAATTGAGGAGACCGCTGTGATATTCAGGAAGAAGTCGGTCTTCTGATTTGGGGTTGGGTAAAAGGAGAGTAGCAAATAAATTCTGTAATGC